TAATATGGGCTGCTTTTGGTGCTTGACACTTTTTTTATTGGTCATTTTGTTTTACGAATAAGATAGGCTACAAGGTTAAGAAGCTTACTTAAATGTAAAATGTTTTTTCTCTATTTTGCAATAAAAGACGGCTTCCCTTATTGATCACGTCTCTGGTAGATTGCATGTTTTCTTGCACGGCGGGATGTTGGACTCATTAAAAAAAGAATCACGTAGATTGTATTTGCCAAAACTGATTTACCGAAGTCAAAACACGGACGGAATTGGCGTTAGCGCGAGCGCCGCTTAATTGTGAAGCGGGAGCGATCAGCCAGCAGAGGATTCTGCAGCCTTCCTCAAACAGTTATGTTCAGGATTTTCTAATTTACTTAACGGATATTGTGTGAGGGAGCAAGAAACGGGCCAAGGGAGGTCACGTACGGGACACATAAATTAAGCCCAATATACGGGACGTCCCGGCTAATACGGGACGGTTGGCAACCCTAGCTTTCCCCTGCCTGTTCTGGCATCCTGGCGCACAGCAGCTGTCCACCATGTTGAAATAGTAAGGTTTGTAAGGTCTAAAAAGTCTGGTTTTAAATTATTGTTGTACAACTGTCGATACCAATGCTCTAGCGCTCTCCTGGTTGCCTGCCAAAATGGTGGAGTTTAGAGTGCGTGACGTCAACCTCCGGAGCTCTATACGCATGCGCAATGCATATTCAGGCCGTGATAAACTCAATCTGGAAAACAATGGTAAGTAAACCGATTTTGCTGAATGAAAAAATGACTGTCATAGCAGAAACGTACACTTTTGTGACGTAAATGTGCAACTTTTCTCATGATTACCTAGAAACAAAATTCATTAAATTCAGGTGCACACCACTAGCACATGGAAAGATATTCCAAGATGTCATACATTTTTGTAATTCATATGCTCATCCTAACCAAACAAGCATGTAGCAAAGATTAAATCTCACTCTCACTTGAAACCCCCAAAAGATAGTAAGAAAAAAAAAAACCTCTGCGTGCGTGTAGCATATATGATAGCCTATATTTGAAATACTTAATCTATGAATCACACTGTCAAATCCCTCAATGAATTCCACTTGCCGCACACTTGCCTCGCGTTATCATCATTTCATTTTAGGCTGTCGTTAAAAAGAACAAAAAAAGAAGAGTATACACTCAACGTCGGCCAAAGCATAGCTTATTTATTCAAATCAGCTGGGGAAATGCAGAACAATGTAAAATCAATCTTTAGCCTGACAGAAATAAATGACGGTAATTTGAATGATAAAATCAAAGTTTTTATTTCCTTTTTTTTTCTGTCGTGTAATCGACTATTGTTTTCAGTGTCGACTAGTAGGAGCTGTACCGTTTAGTCGACTAGTCGACTAGACCCGCACATCCCTAGAGGTTACATGCAGGTCTGACTACTTTTGTTTGTATTTGTATAAATAATCTCTATAGTTTTGTCCTCTCTAGACAATAGGCCAGGATTCAAAGGATTAGACTTGCAGAATGGCTATACATTTATGAGATCTAAGCAAGTATGTTTTTGTGTGCTTACTGCCATGTTACAATAACAATTTTTGTATTATTTTACTTTTCACTTCACTTATTATTTCTTTGTTTTCTATCCAGAGATAGGTAATAAAATGGACAAGCCACATATTTTAATCTCTACGCCAACTGTGTACGGTATGACATTAATGCAAGACAAAGGCCAGTTTTGCCAGTATTTGAATTTTATGTAACTTTTTACAACACATCTTTCCAAATAGGCATTACATATAACATATTGCTACTTGGCAGATAAGTATACATTCACCAGAGATCTAGCAATGCCTGCCTGTCAGTACTCAATCTTGCAGGTCAGCTATATCAAAAAACCTTGATAAGATGGTTGAGGTGTTTCATATGCATTAGAACTAAACTGAGCAGGAACGTGAACCTCTAGAACAGGGGTGTCAAACTCAATTCCTGGAGGGCCGGAGCCCTGCAGAGTTTAGATTGAACCCTAATTAAACACACCTGATCCAACTAATCAAGTCCTTCAGGCTTGTGTTGGAACAGGGTTGGAACAAAACTCTGCAGGGCTCCGGCCCTCCAGGAATTGAGTTTGAAACCCCTGCTCTAGAAGAAGGATTGAGTACCTCTGTCCTACATCAAACATGCAGCAAAATAATGACACAACAGTTGTTTAAATCATGGCCACCTGCTGGCTAATGTTGTCATGGCATCATGAATGTCACATTATTGTTTTTCCGCCGGATTGACAACTTTTCCAAAGAAGAGGATGTTGTCATTTTTTTGGTCAGTGATAAAGATCATGAATGGACGGTCAAAATGCAAAGTTTTCAATGGGCTGTAGGACAATAGTCTGAAATCAACCGTTGTCACTGCTGCTGCGGTGGTTCCTTTCTCATCTAGATCCAGACTGGCCTTATGCAAAGCCTTGAAGGTGAATCAAAGCGAGTCCTTTTAAAAATGCTTTTTATATACTATAAAACGTAAATTTTAAATCATAATTTAGAAAGGGATCTAGACATTTTACCTTTGAAATGAGCATCCTTTCCTCTGAAATTCCTGTGAAGTCGGCTTTATCTGTAAACATATCAGCCATTCCCATTCCTTTCAAAATATCTTTCAGGGAATATGATGTTTTCAGAGAGAGCTTGGGGACATAGATGTCAGTTTTTCTGAAGGACAAAAGAAATCATTGACTGGCCCATATGAAGATACTGAACTTAAAACATTTGAACATCTATGCTTTTATGAGTCCGGATAACTTTATTTTTGATATACATTAAATAATTATGACAACCAACCTTTTTCTGACAGCTGTCCTCCACTTTTCAATGTGCTGTCTAGAGATGGCCATCTCCAGATCTTTGATGGTCTTAACTGGCCTGTGAATATCTGGTACAGCCAGAAACATGGAGAAAGAGTCGTTGTAGTCTAGACAGAGGACGGCTAATTCACACAGGCAACTGTCACCTCTCTCTCTCTGATAATTAATTCAAGTAGCTAAATGTTATAATGAATTAATTCGAATAAATGTGATCTTACAGCACTATTTAATCTCTTTCTGATCTGAAACTAGCTGTAGCTTCGCGTCAGGTGGTTCTTGCCTTCACCTCGTGCATATCATCTAATATATCCTGCATTGCAGGTCTTCCAAATCTTATTTATGATCCTGTAACAATTCACGTACATACCTTTGGAGTCTCTGTGTTTTTATCACTCCTTCGACCTTCCAATCTTCCTCTGTGTGGAGGTCTGTCATGGAAAAATATACACATTTTAGTTTTAATGTAACCAGAATTTTCTCATCATCATCATCATACCTATGTATACATAGAAATTATTTATGAAAAATATGGTAACATTTTCTATGAAGCCCATATTTATAATACATTATAAGGGTATTCTTAAGGCATTATAATGAATGCATAATGCATTATAAAAGACCTTATAATATGTTATGTCATCTTATAAATAATCATAACAACAATTATAATACATTATAATGCTTACGCATTTGTGGTTATAAGTTTTAAGATTATGATTATTTATAACACACAATGAACACCATATTAAATCTACTTTTACATTTATAATGGACTATATCTTGACATTGTTTATTTAAGATCTGCACAGTATCTTACTACATCTTGTGAGTGGTTAGGTGTTGAGTGTTATTTGAATGTTCCCTGTGAGGCTAATATTAATTTGGATGTGAGCTAGTTAATAATTTCAACTGAAGAAAAAAAAATGCAATGTTTATATGTTAGGTTACATTTTATTTTGATGGTCCCCTTAGTCTATTGACTATAGGCAACTTTGCAATTACATGTCAACTAACTCTCATTAGAGTATTAGTAGGCTTAGGTTAAGGTTGGTAGAATGTTGACGTACTTGCAAAGTTACTTATAGTCAGTTTGTCTGTTGAAGAACCATCAAAATAAAGTGTTAGCATATATTTAGCAGACATACTAGTAACACTCCAATGACTGCTAGTTGACATGTAGTTGCAGAGTTACTTATCAACAGCTCTCTAAAGGGTACCATCAAAATAATCAAACTGATATTACAATAAAAATAGTTCGAAGCAAATGTGTCAAATTACACATTCATCTGATCTGATCTTATGGCTGTTTGAGAAAATAATAATTATTATTACTATACTTATAAGTGGTCTTTGATTGCTTTAAGTAAAGTAGCATAAGAAAGATGGCAAGATATGAGACTTATAATACATTATAACTATGAGAAATATAATCCATTGTAACTTAAGTGGATGCAACATGTTCACTGTGTGTTCTAAATCATCATACTCTTAAAAGCTATAACCACAAATAAGTAAATATTATAATACATAAAAACTGTTCTTATGAATATTCATAAGATGATATAACATATTATACTTTTTTTGTAATGCACTATGCATTTATTTTAATGCCTTAAGAATAACCTTATAATGTATTATAAATATGGGCTTCACAGAAAGTGTTACCAAAAATATTTAAGCATACCCCGAAGTGGTTGTAGAACGGGGCATGAGGCTGTCATTGAGGTATGTGTTCGCTTCTACTGCTCTGTGCCTTTGGTTCCTGCTCTTCACCTGCTGCTCAGCATTCGTGTTCTTAGTGTAACTGTAGGCTGAGGGCAGCCACTGGTCCAAACCTGAGGTGCCTTTCTGCCACCCCTGAGCCGTCTCCCGCAGGAGCTCCTCATCTGGGTCAGCTGCAGAAAGATACAGAGATACACACTGATTTTAAACGGATATATTTTGTAAATAAGAAGTCAAATTAATAAATGGATTACACAATGAGATTGTGTTCATCTATTTTGGTGGCTCACCTTGATGTCTCACCCTTCTCTGCCTCTCAGGAGATCTCCCCTCGTGGGCCTCTTTGGCGGTGTGGTGTGGTTTCCGTGGAGACAATCCGTCAATTGAATAAGCTGTCTGGGGGCGTAGGTCACACTTGTCCTGTACAGTATAATGAGATTGAAGAGTATCAACTAAAAGGTGCGCTCCATTTCTGCTCTACTTTCACAAGTGCTTACACATACCAACAGAAACAAATTCATGTATCATGAATTATAAAAAACTAATTAGATGTAAACACAAGGGAAAATTACAAGCCAAATTTACACATTTTTATAAATTACTTTTTTATAAATTTTTTATAAATTACTTAAATCTAGAAGGTTTTCTTAAAGGGATAGTTCAGAAAAAATGAAAACACTGTCGTTAATTGTCATGTGTTGTGGTACTCTTGTGAACGTGCATCAAAGTCTGACACTGAAGAGAAGAAATTGTTGAATAAAGTCGTTATTTTTGTTTTCTTTGCGAACAAAAAGTATTCTCATAGCTTCATAAAATTAAGGTTGAACCACTGATGTCACATGGAGACTATTTTAACAATGTCCTTACTACCTTTCTGGGCCTTGAACGTCTCAGTTGCGTTCAGAAAGCTCTCGGATTTCATCAAAAATACCTTAATTTGTATTCCGAAGATGAGCAAAGGTCTTACGGGTTTGGAACGACATGAGGGTGAGTAATTAATGACAGAATTTTAATTTTTGGATGAACTATCCCTTAAATACTACATGAGCTATGACAGTAAAAATCATATGAAATAATATGAAATAGTATTCTTTTGTAGATATCCATCATAACATTTATGAAGCTTCTCTCTTTACAAAACCATGTAAATATGTTTTCTCAATGTTTTGAGACAGATTTAATATGAATTGTAACGAGTGCCTATTTTGTGGAGATGATGTAGCATTTTATTTATAAACATTTTCAAAAAAAATTTCGGGGTGACATTCACATTTAGAGCATTTGTGGTCAATAATATTATGATTTTGGCAATATACACTGAACAAAATTATAAACGCAACACTTTTGTTTTTGCCCCCATTTTTCATGAGCTGAACTCAAAGATCTAAGACTTTTTCTATGCACAAAGTAGCAGATTCTTAAAAAAAAAATCTTAAAAAAAAAAACTAAAGTAAAACTTTATTTGTAAGACCTGCTAAGTGCTGCAGAAAATCACAGGGTGTTATACCTGATGGTGAAAGAGTACATCCTCTTCCAAGGCAACACCACAAAACTCACAAGGAATGAGCACGTCGCCCTCAACGGGGCTGGAGGAGGAACTGTAGGAGAGTGGCGAAACAGAGAGGGGCAGGGTGGGCGGACTGGGTGTGCGGGGAGGAATGACATGACTAGCCCCTTGACTGATGATTTCTTCATATTGAAGAGAAGGAGCTTGTTTACTGAAGGAAGTGATAGCAGAGGCCGGGCTGCAGCCAGTCTAGAAGACAAAAACCGAATATTTACTTCATGCTGGCCACTAAAGGCAAAAATCCAAAACAAGCGACTCAGATAGCAAACCAGGCTCTATGGCCTGCATAAAGGAGGCTCTATGGCCTCAGAAAGAGGAGAAGAATCTGATCAGGGTTCGGCCTGTGGGAGAAGCTAGAGGGCTGAAATTCGAGGAGGTTCCCATGGAAACTAAACACCACATTGTGAAACAATAGAGACCTGACAAGAAGAAATGAAGTGGGAGATTCAACATCATTGCTGACATTACAATAGCCTGCCATGAAAATCATGGCTTATGTTGTACTCCGTTAAAGTAGACATGTAATGGCGCTCAAAAGAGGCGACTCTAGAGGCTTTAAGTACCACTGTGGCTGATGCAACTTCACACTTTCCAGCTCTATCAAGACACAAGAGGCCTGGCTTAAATATCAAGCCAAGAGGGAGTGTAGCGTGATGGGATGATTGAGGCCTCATCACTTACCTGGTGTAAGATAAGGTCTTCCTCTGGAAAGAGCTCTTCACAGAACTCACAAGGCAGCATGATGTTTGAGGAGGGGCTGTGGCCCACTGTCGGGTTGGTTTTAGGGGAGGCCGCAGTGCAGCTGTTGTTAGTGCTGGAGGAGAGCTGGGACGTGAGATTGCTTGGGGCTGGTGTCCTTCCCAGGCGACGGTCCCACACATCAGTCCACACGCCCTCCTGACGGGGGTCCTCCAAGTCACCTTCACTCTGCAGGCTGAGGGCCAGCATGTAGTCCAGACTGGAAGACTCATAGTCTGGCAGCTGTCCCAGAGACCACAGCAGGCTGTTGTTGTTGTTGCCCAGCTCTGTTTCCTGATCCAGCACTGAGGAAATGAGCAGAGTGGAAGGTTAGTTTTTTTCCTCCAGCATCCTGTTAATACCCGACGAAAGCTCCCATCGTATTCAACAACATGTTTAAAACTCATTCAAACCCATTGTTGGGATGAACTGATATTACAACTCTAACTCATACAAGCCGATTAATTCAATGTTATGGCCAATATTTAAATTCTACGCAATTTTTATTACATTTTCACATTTATGCAGTTCTCAGATGGTTTTATCCAAAGTAAGTGGACAAACATATTTTGTCTAAATTTTTTAAAAATAAACAAAAAGTTAAAACCATCATTAAAAATTATTTTAAATGCTACAAGTAAAATTAGACATAAAAACATTATTTTAGGCTTTAATATTGTTTTATTTTAGGCCTGGTTTCACAGAAATGGCTTAGACTAAGCCAGGATTAGGTCATAGTTCAATTAGGACATATAAACGTGCCTTAGAAAAAAAACATTACTGGTGTGCATCTTGAGACAAAACAAAGGTACTGACATGTTTTAAGATCAATCAGTGCACGTTTCTTTCAGTTGAAACAGCTCAGACTTTTAGTCTGGGACTAGGCTTAAAGGGGTCATATGATGTTGCTAAAAAGAACATTATGTTATGTATTTGGTGTAATGAAATGTGTTTATGGGGTTTAAAGTTAAGAAAAAAACACATTATTTTCCACATACGGTACATTATTGTTTCTCCTCTATGCCTCGCCTTTCTGAAACGTATCGATTTTTACAAAGCTCATCGGTCTGAAAAGCGAGGTGTGCTCTGATTGGCCAGCTATCCAGTGCGTTGTGATTGGCCGAAT